GAGGCTTGCGGCAACAAAGCAGCTCATCAGAAATCCAAGTGGAGGTGGCCAGTTGTGCAGGGGTGAAGAAAAAACATGAGAAATGGCTCAGAGTCCGAGAAGTGGAACCCTTTGCCCGTTGATTTCCGCATTTGTGCGACGCTCATCGGTGCTGCCCTCTTCAACGCTAGCGTTCTCTTTGCTAAACAGCCAGAGTTAGACGGCGAAGGGCTACTTATCGACGGGCGTGCAGAAGCGCAAGCGGCACGGCTACAGCCCTGCAAAACGGCTCAGGGATATTTTTCACCGCTGAATACCCATCGTTCGGCACCCACAAGGGGCCGCCCGCCTGTTGACGAGGCGTATTCCCCTTCCTTGGCCTCCGACTTTATTGTGGAATCCTATGTTGAAATTGATACGTTTAAGACTGCGACATCTGGATACCCAACGAGCGTCTGTATGCGAAACTGTACCGTTTTGACGTTAACGGTATAACTAAGTATATGCTCGAGAAATCACCTTACTAGTGAGTCTAACCTTTTGTTTTCTGTGAGTCTTTTGAAACTTTTTAAAATCAATTTTAGCGGTTGCTCGCGTGTTGCTTAGCTGCTCCTCAGTTGAGCAAACCGATGTTCAACCGAGCAAATAAGAAGATTGAGCAGCTTTTCACAAACAAAAGAATCTGTGGTAGTTTGTCATCAGATTGACTCGTAAGTAACGGAATAGAGTCTCACTCCTGAAATGTCAGCAAACCAAAAATTGAGAGTTCTATAACGTCAAAATTTGGAAACGTATTTGCGCTTATTCCCAACTACAGATTGGGCTCACATTTTCCCCAGTTCCCCGCCAACGACACGTATTCTAATTCGTCAAGTATCGCTGCAATCTTCGAGTATTCGTAAGAACTCGAGTTCAGGGCAGCTAGTCTGACTTCACCACAGTCCGTCACACGGTAGCTGTTATCTGTGCGACCGGGTGTCACAACATTTAATCGTGCAGTCTTACACTTAAGCACGCTCATCATGTTCACACATTATAAAAAAAGCAGGAGCACATGTGGCGAAATTACTTCTCCTTTGTGGCCCCTCACATCCTGAGGGATTTTGCTTAACAAAAACTAAGGAGTATCCATATTCTTAAACGTTGGTGAGCTTATGTGTTTCCGCATAATTGGGGGTGCCATCTCAGTTCGGTGGGGGGAGGGGACCAGTCGCCGCCACGTCGCGCTCAAAACGGGGAGTTCGTTGCAAGGAGAAATGCACGATGTTCAGGGATGAAGGTGGGAGGGAGCAGAGAGAAATTCGAAATGTGTAAAAATTTGCAATCTACGCCTCTGCACCGTTTGGGACGGCGTCGCGTGCCGCGGCGACGACTGCATTCCCTCTGTCCCCTAGCCCAACTAAGTCAACTTTCAATTAGAACTCCATGCTTTCATTTGGAGTACGTGATTTGGATCTTCATCTAGGCTTGTCATGGATGACTTTATTTTCATTACAACGGGCTTAGTTATTGTCATTCAAGACGTCTTGTTCATATCTTCTGTAGGCGGTGTTTTAATCAAACACATGTTTTGTTTACGTCTGTGATGTTCATGGAATGACCTAACATCCATCATTTCGGAGTTTATCTATCATTCTATTCTATTCTATTATTTTATCTATCACTTTTTGCAGGACATCGTGGCACTCGCCTTGTTTTCCACAATATTCCTTTCAACAGGGAGAGCGTAGCAACCGATTTAGTTGCTTCGAGGCAAGGTTTGTGATCTTTTGTTTAGATTCCCAGCACTTCCCCATCACCCTCGATTTTTGAATAATTCAGCTATATCCGCTTTCGATAGTGTTTGTTCTTAAACTTAATACGATCTGAAGCCGAACAAATTCATAAGACTACAGCTTACAAAAATCGAAGTCCGCATCACAGACGCTATTAAACCATCACTCAGGCTGGTGTCAGAGTCCGCGATCCGTCATAGGTTTCACGCGATTCGCGCGATTCGCGCGACGGGTCACAGGAAATCACAAGTGCCCGATCAATACTGCAAGGTGTCTCCAATCCCGCCGCCATTTCTGCTTGATGGTGATGGCTGAATGACGACTGTTCATGATTCTACTTGTTTCATATTCAGTGTTTCAAATGTTCAAATGGGGCACTTGCGATTTGCGATCGACCGAATCGCGCGAAACCTGCGGCGGGTCGCGGACACCAGCCTTAGGTGGCTGGAAAGAATATGGATGGGCCTTCGCTCTATGGAAATGTTTAAAAAATAGGAGTAAAAATCATTAGTGGTCCAGTTCCCCTCGTGGCAACAATTTACACTTTTCGGATTCCCATTTGTACGTCTGAACTTATTTGCCTGCCCACTAAAGCCGCTCAGGGGCATCAGAAACTTTTCTTTGCTCCATGCAAGTGCCTTATGCGCCCTTCTAAGAGATTGTTTTGCAACTGGAAAGTACACGCTCTAGGTCATGGTTGACTCCTTGGTAAGTGATTTCAGCTCACAGCATTTTCTATGCAGGCTGTGGGTTTTATGAACCTCCTTTCTTAGATTCACACTGGACTTTTGATGCTCCTCATATCAGGACAGCATAGGTGACAAAAATAATCTGATTAAAATGTGTGTGTGTGAATATGTTCCCTAGAACTGCTTGCTTGATTCCGAGTTTCTAAGATTATTGATTGATGTTTAAAGTTCCAAGTTTTGTGGCGCTTTTGTGACTGCTTGGAAAAAGCTGTTTAACGCGAATAGGCGGAGATTAGCTAAACGAGAAGCGGCCCACTATCCGTTGAAGGTAGAGAGCAGAAAGTTGTGGCAGACACAGTCATTCTGTTTTCTCTTCTATATGATACGAGGAAGACAGTTTTTTATTGCTAGCCTTCGAGTGAGAATTCTGCTTGCGTTGACCCAACACGAATGAGCCGAGTTGGTGGAGTGTTTGGAGAAAGCTGATCTATCTTAGCCTCCCTTTGCTTGGTTGTTAAGATTGCGGTCCCATGCAGTCCCATACATGGTAATATTTGTTGTTATTAATTTTTCCCCTCAATGAGAAAGACCTATTTCCACTGGATGTTCTATACTAGATCGCTCATAATGATCGACTCTAGTTTCTGTTACATTCAGGTCCTTCTCAGCCAAACGACGTCCAACCTTCCCAGTCGAGCAGTCTAGCCAATGATTCCCATATAATGCATCCACGACTTCCCAAAGAACAAGCCCAGGTTTAGTGAAATCCTGCACCTAAGATTTCTTTTTTTGCTGATTTCGTTGCAGGAAGGCAAACATTCGACATGAATTTGTTAATGCGAAGAACTGAGAGAGTGCAGGTGCGTTTTCAAATTATTGCATGTGCATATAGATTTGTATTCTCTTTTTCGGACCAGCTTGGCCTTATCATTGATTGTGCAATACGTGCATGCGATACCGCTCACGTAACACGAATACTGAGAAACGGAGTAATTATAAGGTGTGCCGTTTACGTGTCACATATCAGGCAGACGTACTGACCAGGGTCAACCGTCCGTCGGTAATCACCAACGAGGGGGGGGGTCGTGTTTGAATCGTACTCATGAAAGGGAAGGGCGTGTTTCGGTTCTTTCTGTTGGTAATTTTGATATAGGGTCGTATTTGAAGTTTTGGCAGTTTGTCTTGGAGATGGCTGGGAAGGTGCTTCACCCGCTCGGCGGTGATTCGGAGTGAAAAAGACTGCATTAAAGCGTGGTGAGTCGACTGGTCTTTGAATCAATCACTATAAGAAACATTGTGGTGGTGAGGGTGACAGTGGAGGTTGGTGATATGGTGCGAGGAGTTCGTATTGGGGGACTCCTCAGGCTGATGGTGGCGGAGATCACATCGAGAAGGTCCTGGGAGGAGAGAGCCGTGAAATTTCTGAAAATTTCGCCATTGTCACGGTTCACCCTGGCGCCGGCTGATTGATACCACCTGAGTTGTCACCTCTGAAGTCTGGAATTAGGTTACGGATAAGAGCCTTAGGTTCCATTCAAAGATAAAGAAGCTCTGCCTACAGATGGAGTAATAAAAATGCTCAAAAGTTGGTCAACGTAACTACTTGCATTTAAATGAACCTAACTTTGGAAACTTCAGGAAAAGCTCGAAACCATAGTGCAGCTGGAACGGCTATCACGGACACCGTTTGAAGTAACCAGAGAGCACTTCACTTGCAGTATATGTTATGAAATCTTTAATAATGCGGCAAAGTGAGTGGGAATTACGAGACATCACACTTCTGTTTTTGGTATGTAGCACTAAGGTTCAACACACTTCGGAATCAATCTGGTAATGTCAGATTGATTCGAGGTTGCCTACTATCGGCTTGAGTTGATCATATGTTCAGTTAACACCCGGAATTCAGACTGCGGGGTTGATTGTAAACTGACAAAACCTGCCTTTATTGGAACGAAAAATGACTTTTCTCATTTGTGTCGCTTTAAAGAAACGCTAGTCATTTCAGCGTGAATCCCTGCAACCATGTATTCTGCCGCAGTTGCATCTTAACATGGGTAGCTGCACACCCACTCGTGCCTACTTGTCCAGAGGTAGTTTCCAAATGTTTTTTCTTCGATTAGCTTAGAAAGGCGCTTAGTTCCGGTTCCTGGACAAAATGCAGAGTAAATCGTTGCCCGAATCAGGGCCCACACTGTCAGTATAGCTTATATTGTTTTGCAATCTTTTCGTAGAAACCTGGCGATTTCCTATTTACCGCTGCTGGATGTAAAGCTTTATCTAGAAAGTTCCCCCTGTAAGCTACATAGTGGGCTCTGATTCGAAGTGATTTTTCCGATAAGTGCATTTTCCGCAGGTGTGTACGGAAAAGTTTGTATTGTTTCCC